TTTCCAATACAGTCTGAGATTTTTTGTGTATGGATATTCTTGAAAATGAGAACATTTACTATCCCAATCCTTTAGACGGCGAATTACACTTTGCATTGGACCAGAATACCCGTGAGTGTTGAAATCTTCTAGTTTGACTGAATTTTCCAATTGAAATCCTTGCATTATTTTCCAGAATAACTGCCTAAAGTTATCATTCTCATGAACCGATACAATAATCATTCCGGGCAAAAAGCCTCTACACATCTGTTCTAAAATATTTTGTGGGATTGAGAGAAACAAATCAACATAGAGTGAACTGATCGAACGATCAATAAGCAAAGACGGATTGAACATAATCTCTGATAATATTACGATAGTTGAATTTGATGACAGTATATCTGACGATGAACTTTTTAATTGCCTGTTCATCTTATGTAGAGAACTGTGAACACGACATCTGTCCCAAGCTTTTATAGTGACATCAAAGAGCACATTTACATCATTTGTATTGTTATATGCTCTGAGGTATCTATAAAAATAAAAAGAATTATAGGATATAATTATGCTAAGTTAACAGCACATTTACAATTCGATAAATATTCTTACCTTTGACGCATATCTTCTTTATAAATATAATATACTTCAACACAATCAACACAGTTAGACAGTTGATCGGCCATTACATTTTTAAATTCTTCAACTTGTTCATTAGTATAATTTAATGCGAATAAATGTAGTAATTCAGTCGTAATTTCCACGAATTCTTCGCTGCAAAACCAATGGGCCGGAATGTTGTCTTTATAGCAAGCCAAAAGGTAACTCGAGCCGTATTCTAAAAATTTTTTTGAACCTTCGACATCTTGATTTTGTTTTTGACGAAGAAATCCAAGAATATCCTCATGCGTAATCTCTATTTCCATGTGTTGAGGCACCATTGATGACATATTACTCACACAACCTTTAAGTTTGCTATCTCAGATAAATTCATAAGGAATCCTTTAGATCGTGTTTAAAGCAGTCGTATATAAAAAATAGCATATTTTGAATCTCAAATGACTTACTTCTCGAACAGAAAGTATTAATAACTTCAGAGGAACAAAGCGGACAAAATAAGACAACAGCTCAATTATTGAGGTATTGGGCAGCGATTATAAAAGTAGCACTAATAAAGCGAAATTACAGTACGTAAATAAGGTTTAGCTTACTGAGCTTTAAAGATATTGCTTATTTACCACACGTGGATGTTCGTATTCAACACTTTTTTGGAAGGAAAAGAATTTATATTCTTAAAGAAGATTGTAATTTGATCAATATTTATATCATCGCGTGTATTTCGTGCTGGACATTCTGCTGATTGGTGGATTGCACACCCAGAATATATTGTACATATACAATCCGCAGTATTGTTTGAAGTGCCAAACCGCTATATACGTACCAGCTGTTAAACTAACATCTGAAATTCTTATGCACTAGTGTTACACGGGACTCTATATTACTGTTATATATTAAAAAATCGACACATTTTTACCGGGTTAATCCGGATTTATATAATTTACAAATTTGGGTTTTTCATGTATTATTTTTTTTGCAAATACAGAAATATTTCGATTATAATTTATGAAATCAGGTGTGACGTAGTGTTACATACAGTATAACCTCGATATAACGAAGCTCTGTAGCTGGAGGTTTTCTTCGTTATATCAAAACTTTATTAGTAGTTTCGTTATATCAGGGTTAATTTAAACATAAAAATTAGAAATAATCTTCGTTATCGTTATATCGAGGTTATACTGTAATATAGTTTTGCATTCTGATTGGTCAATCTTAAAGGTCTGCGAAAAAATTCATTTTTATTTGGATAAATTTCGAGAATCACCAAAAATTTCGAAAATTTTTGACGGTCCCTGGATCGTACCAACAGAATAATTCGAGTTCTTTTGATGGTGATAGTATCATCATCAAATACTGTAGCTTCATTATTTGATGATAACACAATTATCACCAAAAGAACTCTGTTGGTTCGGTCATAAGCCACGGATACTACGTACGCAGTCAGAAAATGAATTATTTTAGTTATTGGCTGCTTCGCAATAACTATCGCTGTAATATTTTTCCCCTGACATCAAATCAACCAGAGCTTCCAATGCCATATTTATATATCCGAATTATATCATATCCGGATATATATTCAAAAAAGTTGAATCCGGACATAAATATAAATTCAGATTCAGCTACTACCTCTCTATCATCCACTAAGGGTTAATAAGAATCTGATTCGTCTATCTGATTAAACTCGAGAGAAGTATTTGGGACGTCCTAACTTATATATATATCGTATAAGAATTTCCGGATTTGAATGACGAGAAATCAGGCTGGCTATGCCAATTTCGACTTAGGAGCGCTCTCATGCACTTTTCTCAATAAATTCGATAAAGAAGCTAATCGAAATTTGACGTTAGTTCGACCACAAATATAGATGGGGGTGACAACAATAATTTCAGCATCTTTATATTTTTATAAATTAAATATCAAATAAGTATTTTATTTAATTTGGTTTGTTTCAATAAATTTTTGATGTAATTTAAATTAATTTTTAGTATAGAAAACTATTTCACTAATTTCACCATACAATAGCTTCAACAATTTCAACAAAAAATTTTTATTAAGGGTAATTTCACCCTATCTATAACCACAAACAATAATCCGTATTATGACGATTATCTCGGTGGCCTCAATTTACGCGAATCTATAAGACACGAATTAACTTGAAATAATTCGCCCAGGCGAAATTATTTTACACTGACGAAAAAAATTAACATTGTTTACTGTATGTTCGACTACCACATTTATTATTCTTTTTTATATTTTTATAATAATTTTCAAAAAGCCCTAAGCACTAGCTATTACATGATAAAACATTTTAGCTATATATAATATTATATACATTAATTATGTACATTAAAATATCATGATTAATTTTGTACATAACTAGTTTAAAAAAATAATGTTTAATAGTTAATTGTAAAAAGAATTTATAGAAATTACCAATTACCAATGAACAACGATGTGTTTAGATGGTACTACTGTAACGTATCTTTTCTTTTTTTTTTAATATTATTTTTCAATTTCGAATATTCTTTTACACCCACGTAATTCAAAGTTCTTATTCTCATGCAGAATTCGATTAGTGCTTTAGCTTGTTTCTCATCAATACTGTTAATTAAAAGCCTTTTTAAGGGTGCATAGCAATTATTGAGCAAAATGCAAAGACATCAATTTAACGGGGTGCGTTTTAAGTCAAGATATTGCAATGTTAACGGTAATATTTCTGCAAATTTCTTAATTTCTTCTTCTGATATGTTATTTCCGTGCCACACAGCGAGAAATTGAAGTTTTTGTAATTTACTAATAGGCTCTATAATTAGTGTAGAAAATCCAAGGCAAATGTCGAGATATGTAATATTTGGGCAGAAGGAATTATCACTAAGAGCTTTTAGTAAAGACAATTCTTCTTCTTCTTCTTCACAAATTTCATCAGAATATATTTTTAGTCGTTGTAATAATGCGCCAGACTTTTTAAAAAATGGAATTAAGAGTAATGCCTCAATCGTGTTGTTCTCATGTATATCCAAAGCTTTGATTTTATCAAATGTATTCAACAGATCAAAATCGCTATCTTTGATACGAAGAGTTTCTAAATTTTCACAATTCATTAGCACCTCAAATTCCGCATTATAATCACAATATACTAATATAACTTCTTGTAATGATCGTTTTTGACTCTCTAAAGCCGAAATGATGCCACGGTAATCTCTAATCATATCATCATCATTGATTATTTCAAACACCCTAAGCTGCTCTTGTGATTTAATATAAGTGTATGAAATACATGATTGTTATTGTATGGGTATGTAGTGAATAACCGTGGCCGAAGGTCACGGTTATTCATATACCCATACAATAACTTTATTATTTCACGGTGTCTGACGTACAATCCTGTGCAATAACCAAGATGAAAAAGCACAGGTTATTACATAAGACCCGTGGAATAATTGGGGCTTACATTCAGTATAAAATTGAATGCTCAAAGCAATAAGTTTTCTAGTATTTTTTGCCAAGATTTTTAATAATTTAATAGCATTCTCAATGCTGGCGTCTGATATTTCACATAATGCATGCAGAGATAAATCTTGGAGGTGTGAGAAAAATTTCTCATTTCTTCGTAAAGGGTCAAATATCTCTGACTTAATTTGAATAGATTCAGAAAAAGATAAAATTAATTTGTGTAAAGTGGCACCACTCTCAATAAATAATTTAAATAATAAATTAATCATGAGATAAACCGATTCGTTTTTTACAAGATCAAACGTGAGGTGGTATTGCAAACCAAGCTGGAATTCGATCCATCTTCTAACCATATGTTCTAGATGATGTAAATCAAGAACCTTTAGAAATCTTGCATAATCAAATAGTGTTTCGGAAAATTCGGCATTTATTCCACAGTTTTTTAAACCGGATTTTTCGTCATTGCCAAGAGACGAAAAATAATTAGAAATGAATAGCGACACCTTTTGTTTGTACAGCACTTTATTGAATGAAAATGGATCTTGCCAAAGAATTGGAATTGACATTTTACACCACAGTCGGCTCACAAGTGTGCATGAGTATAAGGAATAAAATTCATTATTTAAATTATTAAGAATTTTTTCCATTATTTCGGGCATATTGCCCATAACCATTTTTGATGCCATGAAATCATGATGCAGTGTTCATATGACGATAATTGTAATACATGCAATATCATTCAATCATATTCAATCTGATGATTGGGATCGACAACCAATTAATTTTGTATCAAAAAAAAATTCATTATACTGTATACTAACCAATTACAATTTCTAAAAATATATGTTTAAAACCAAAACTTTTGGTTAATTAAATTTAATAGTATTATATAATCTTTATATAATCTTTATACAAAACTAAATAGCTTTTTTTCTATTAAATTTATTGAATTTTTCTTAATAAAAAAATATCAAAATTTTAGCAACTACAGTATATATAAAATTTTCTAATATAGCTTAGGGCTTTCATATCTACCCTTAAATTCAAAAGGCAATAAAGGTTTATCTCTAATATAAATTCCCATTCCATTAGGTGACCAAACATCAATAACAGCCTTATCAAACATGCCACCAACTGAAACCCAACCAACTCCTGAAAATACTATATCTTTAATACTCATTGTTCCTGATATACCTTTCATCGCATATTTTTTTAATCCTTTAATCATTGCTGGAAATTCCTTTCTTTTTGATGAAAATATTGGTGGTTGTAAAAATGTTTGATCACCTACTGCCATAGACTGACATATCTCGTCTGCGCGTCTTATAGATGTAAGATGAGGTTTTAATCTACTAAACACAGTAATACGAATTGGTTTTTGCCCCTCTACATAATCTATCCTCCCAAGTCCTTCCAAAAATACTGTTTTTCCTATTTTATTAAAATAAAATGTCAAACCTTTGATTAAGTAATAAATTCTTTCTTGTTATCTGGCATGATTTGACGGATACATGGGTATTGGCAGGATAATAGCAAAAGCACGTGGCCGAAG